TTTTTTTTAAAAAAAAAACGGGACTCTTTTAATCTCCAAACGGGCTTGGACCTGGTCCACTGGAACTGTTCGGACCTGTCTTCACATGGAAATGTTTGTTATGTGACTTTATATGGAACGTATTTATATTTTAAGTTAACGTTGACTGAAAACGACCAACCCTGCTATTATTTTTATCTTTATTTAGGATTACACCAGGGAAGAGTATCTGATTGCGATGCCTACGGTGGCGATGGAAGAGCCTTTGCAATTATCAGGAACTTGTGAGTTGAACGTTCTTTTATCGCTATATTTTCTCTTCTTATTGGTTTTGGTGCACACAGTATAATTCTATTATAATTATTGGATTTCTATTCTATAAATTGATTGAAATTGAGAGGCTTTTCAATTATGTTTTGAAACCCCGCTAAAAGAAAATCGTCTGCAAGCTATGGAAATTGAAACCAAATTCACCGATTCTTCGCAAAGGTAAGTTTTTGTACGTTGTATTTGTTTTTAAAAAATTTGGATTCAAATTTTTGAAGTCTTCATATCAAAACAATTATGTATGAATCAAACAACCTATTAATGTATTATACTATATCGGAAAACCACGTAGCCCATGCATAAATGTGACAAATATATACACTGTGTATTGCTGAGTTTGTATCTTGAATTTTATACCATAGATGGCAGCACTTGAATAACGCCGTCTCCACTTTCCGATCTGTCACTAACACTATTCCAATAATTTATGAGTGAAAGAAAAGAAGAATATGTAATAATAGTATGTGAACCAGGCTACATTTGCTATATACCGTGCCGACGAGGCCTTTCGTATAATACCAGTTAGATTAGAGCTTCACAGTTTTACTGCTAACATACATGTTCGTCTAGTCCTAGCAGTATTTCACGTGACCAAACTCGAGTCAATATCTATAAGTGAAACGTTCTATTTTTAATAACATTCATTTATATAATGTAAAACCTTTGTCATTTTTAGAGGTATACTTATATCTCTAATAAATAAAATTAATAACTCTTTGTTATTATTTAAAAGCGAAAAAATATGAAAAGAATTATACAGTTTGTCAAGTTTATTTTGTGAGATAAGAGGGGACTAGTTTGATACGACCACTATTTTGAAGTAATTAATTCATTATGCAGTTTTCATGGTGAAACGATGTCACTACTTAAGTAATAATAAAAAACAATATATACAAATATAATTGAACTTCTATTTTGAGAAACGCCATCTATGAATTAATTTGCTTCTTAAAATAGATTATATTACATATATATATATATAGCAGTGTGTATTTATAACTCGCAATGAAAGATATACATTATAAGTGACCTTTATTACTATCTTCGAACCCTATATATCATGCTGTACGTCCGTTATCTATTGGCTGTATTTTCGTACACAGATACCGCCAATATGTAACATATGATTGAGAATATACACCATAGTATATGTCTATTTCTCACATAACAAAAAGTAGTAACTTCAATTACTACCATTAAGTTTGAATGTGATAACACCACGTGTCCACTGAATTTGTTTTCATTGCATCATTTGTAAATATATCGGTGAGAATTCATTTCCATGTGTAACAACACGACATTTCAAATTATCTGTGAACGTTCATTCCGTATGCGATGAAAACACGTGTAAAGTTATGTGTGTGAACGTTCATTCCGTATGCGATGAAACCACGTGTAAAGTTATGTGTGTGAACGTTAATTTTTTATATGCTAAAACACCACCCGTGAAGTTGTCTCTAAACATTCGTTTTTATATGCGGCGACGTTATCTGAGAAAATTCATTTTGTGTGTCATAACGCCACATTTAAAGTTATCTGTGAGCGTTAATATTAAACGCATTTACTCATGTGTAAATTTATCTGTGTACATCCTTGTTTATACATAATGAAGCCATTTTAGAATAATTTCCAGTTTTATTGACAAATCCCGATCAGCTAAGTTTTCTCAATGCAACAGGTGGGGTAGTGGCACGTTCTTTGCAAGTGAAGGTTATAAATATCCCTATTATATTAGGCTTAACTTTCATGTATAATGTATGTATTTCCTTTCATGCAAGATTCAAGTGTTTTACTAAGGTAATAAGTGAGCTATGACATAAATGGAAGATAATAAGAGATCAATTACAGTTAAGCATTTTCAGCAGTTAATATTAATGATTAGAGGTCGTTACACAGATTAAAAATGTTCGAAGTTTTAACTACATTTAAACATTAGATCAATAGAAATCAATGTGTGGGTTATCAAAGATTAGGTAAAATCAATGTGTGGATTAGCAGATATTATGTAAAATCAATGTGTGGGTTATCAAATATTATGTAAAATCAATGTGTGGATCATCAAATATTATGTAAAATCAATGTGTGGGTTATCAATGATTAGATAAAATCAATGTGTGAATTATCAGTGATTAGGTAAACCAATGTGTGGGTTATCAATGATTAGATAAAACCATTGTGTGGGTTATCAATGATTAGATAAATTCAATGTGTGGGTTATCAATGATTAGATAAAATCAATGTGTGGGTTATCAGTGATTAGGTAAATCCAATGCGTGGGTTATCAATGATTAGATAAAATCAATGTGTGGGTTATCAAATGATTAGGTAAAATCAATGTGTGGGTTATCAATGATTAGGTAAATCAATGATTAGGTAAAATCAATGTGTGGGTTATCAATGATTAGGTAAATCAATGCGTGGGTTATCAATGATTAGATAAAATCAATGTGTGAATTATCAATGATTAGGTAAATCAGTGTGTGGGTTATCAATAATTAGATAAAATCAATGTGTATATGCTATCAAAAATTAATTCAATAAAATTAAGTTGCGGGTTAAGAATAAAGGATTAGCTCAATAAATCCAATGCGTAGGTTAAAAACACTTCATAATTGACTTAATAGCAGATATCAAACCTGGATTATCCTTAACTGTTACTGTTAAATATTATTTCATGTTTCCAGGACACACGAAGCTGTATGACTAGTTACATTTCAGTTTACTTGAGTTCATCTCAGTAAAGAGTGATGACGTTACTATGCTCAACCGTCACCGAGTGTTCTAAACCGTGGCACACGTGGTTGATATTAATACTCTATTTCCCAATAAACACTGATTTATTATGTCGGAGTTTTACTGTTGATATTTAGGCACACGTTTTTACAGTCCACTTTTTTTTTATTCTTCGTCTTACATATTTTTCAGAAGTCATGGAGTAACCCTGATAACTTGTACGGAGATTGTACGACCACTTATAATAATATTATTAAGTCTGGATGAAAGTTATTTTCGTTAGAATTAATGCTGAATTTCATCTGAAGAATTGTTAGTAGCGACATCTACAAAATTCCCTTTAATCTTTTATTGGTAATGTCAGACTTTTGATTATTGTGCGCATGTTCTTTCTTACTCGCCCCCCCCCCCAGTGGCACAGCGGTATGTCTGCGGACTTACAACGCTAGAAACTGGGTTTCGATACCTGTGGTGGGCAGAGCACAGATAGCCCATTATGTAGCTTTGTGCTTAATTATAAACAACCTTTCTTACTAGTAGCACCTAATGACTTTTGGTTTTCCTATCTGGAACTAGATGGCGTACCTGTCGTCCTGGACGGAAGTTATG